GGCGGGAGCGCGGAGGTCGCGGCGGCGGCGGCGGCAGGAGGAAGCGGTTCCGGGTCGTCGGCGGGAACCAACATGGAGCCCGTCGGGCTCGCGGGCCCTCGCTGAGGGAGAGCCGGGCCGCAGCGGGGCCGCGCCGCCGCCATGTCGCTGGGCGAGTACGAGCGGCACTGCGACTCCATCAGCTCCGACTTCGGCAGCGAGTCCTCGGGCAGGGGCGGCTCCCGCGGCGGCGGCAGCTTGCCCGGCGAGCAGGAGGAGCTGCACTACATCCCCATCCGCACCCTGGGCCGCGGAGCCTTCGGCGAGGCCACCCTCTACCGCCGCACCGAGGTAGGCTGCCTTGGCGGCGGGGCGGGGCGGGCCGGGAGAGGGGCCCCTCTCCTCCTCCTTCCCCGAGGAAGGGGGCCCTTGGGGCTGCTCCGAGGCGGGCCGAGCGGGGCGGTTTCCGGAGGCTGGGTGCTTGGAGGCCCCGGCGCCCGGAGAGCCGCAGCAGGGCTCGCCCCCCGGGGTGACTGACTGACTGACAGCCCCTGGCGCCGCTCCGGGAAGAGCCCGTCTGAAAAGTGACGAGTTCGGCCCTGGGTGTCGAGGGGCGCAGGCTTTGGGTTTCGGCAGGTTTGAGCGCCGCCAGTCTCTCGGTCCCCTGAAGTTTCCTAGGGAGACGTAGAGACTCTTCTGACGCTAATAGATTCCTCATTTTTTCTATGTTTTATTCCAGTCACAGAGGACATGGGGGCATCTCATACAGGTAACTCTCTCGCGTGATCAGCATAATCAGGGGAAACTGGCAGAAAAGCCAGTCCTCCCGTTGCTCCCAAGTCATTTAATCCCATCCAGTTCAATCTTTTTTAACGCACAACTGTCAAAGAAGAGTGCTTGACTGGATCCTAAGGGAAGTTCTTCAGATTTTCTCTGAGGGAGGGCCACCCTGAGGCATGACGGCTCAAAGAGTTGTAAATGAACGCTTCGGTTCACTTAACAGATCGCTCGTAGCCTGTCTGACAACGTGGGTGGGCCTGACAAGGGCAAACTAAATTTGTTCTCGTTTCATTGACTTTTTTTTTTTTTTTTTTGTCTCTAGGCGTACCTGCATATTTGTAATGGCTTATGGTCTTGTCCAATGTCCCACAGTTATGGGAAATACACTGTTATCCCTTTACTGAACCAGAGTATGTTTAGTCTTTACCTGGAAGCCTTGTAGTAAGGTTTTTTGGTGGTTTGGTTTTTTTCAAAGCAAGTGCTGGTCAGCTAGAAAGATGGCTTCAGGCCGTCACTATTCCTAGTGACAAACAGAAAACCTCAAAACTTATTGTTGTGAAAAATCTTTGTCTGAAATCTGTAAGAGGCAGGAAAGTCTTTTTACTTTTCCTGAAATTTTAATTTCCTGCTATAAAGGCACATACTGTACTCTTCATAGTAGTGTGTTTGCAATTAAAAGATGCTTTTGTGTTTCAGGACGACTCACTTGTAGTATGGAAGGAGGTGGACCTGACCCGGCTGTCAGAAAAGGAGCGTCGTGATGCTTTGAACGAAATTGTTATCCTTGCCCTGTTGCAGCATGAGAACATCATCGCGTACTACAATCACTTCATGGATAACACCACGCTGCTGATTGAGCTGGAGTACTGTAATGGTGAGATCCCTGCTCCCACTTACAAACAGGCAGCTGACACGTTGCTGAGTCACCCTCCTGCAGAACCTGCAGGGCGTATTCCTGGGGTGTCCTCTGGGGAGCAGAGGAGTGGAAGTGAATTCTGCATAGTTCCTGAAGAAGAGATTAAGAACCCTTCTGGTTGATTTGCATCTCAGGTGCCAAAGAAAGAAGCCCAGTAGTTAGTGCAGGCAGTTCAGGCAGTAGATGATTCCTCAAGTCTTCTGAGTAGCTGGTGCAGTGGAAGAAGTGGGTTATTGGTAATGTACACTTCTAATGCTCTTGCTGTGTTCTTTTAGGAGGACAGTGGGAAAAGACCATGAGGGTATTTGGGCCTCTCTGGCAGTACAGAGTGGGGCTGTTTTTCAGTAGCATCACTTAAATAGACCCATCCATTTGGCAATTATAAATCAAAGCTTAAAAATCTACTGGCATACTGCAGTCAGGACTTTCTTCTGCCTTGTGCTATCAGCTTCTATGTTTACTATTTAAAAAAAAGAAATCTGTTCCTTCTGGTGGTGGAGAAAACTTTAAAATTTGGTCTAAGAGTAGATCAGATGGTATTGTTTGGAGTTTGCAGGGGAAACAGTCCGAGCTGGGACGGAGAGGTAGAAGGATTTGATATGAGGGTCTGAGTTGCAGCTGCTCATAGGCAGCTGGAAGAGGAGGTCATACACAGCTAATACTGCTGGAACAGGATACCTACCTAGAACTGCAATATGGTTCCTATTTGAAAGAGTGGGACAGCTCCCCAGCTAAGTATCCTGTGTGTGTTTGGGGGTTACGTTAAGCCTTGGCTCATCAGCAGAAACTTCTGGTTGAAAAGGCTATCATGATGTTATCATCTTAGACAGATTGCTTTCACTGGGACAGGTTGGGGAGGACAACAGATTTCTGGAAAGTGTTTTTGAAGGGTGTCAAACACCTGGTTGGCATGTTGGCCAAAGCTGGTTTTGCTTCTCTGCTTTCTGTTCTTCTGCAGGGTGGAGTCCAGCGCAAGAGTAGGGGAATGTTAGCTCTTTGATGCACTGTTTATTTTAGGAATACTCTGCGTGAGTTATTTAGCTGCCTTGAGAAGAGTGCATGCTTGGGGCCATTACAAATTCATTGGAGGGCATAGAGGGAAGGCTGCATAGCACTGATGTCTGTGCATGTTTGTTAACGTCTCTAAACTGTTTGTTTTACTTTGGGACAATAACCAAGAGATGAGTATATAGCCTGTGTTGCCTGAATATGTCTGAGTGGCACAGAAGTAGGGACACGAGAAAGAGGGAATCTCACTTAGGCTTATGGGTACTGGTTTTGCCAATGTGTTAATAGTTGTTTCTGTGGCTTTTTTTACAGTGTACAAGTCCAAGATAATTTGTCAGTAATTTTTAAAGTAAGGCTAGACTAGTTGCTGTCAGACACTGCTCAGAATCCAAAGTTTTTACTGTTTCATTGTCACGTCTCTTCTGGAGATCTAGGAAAGACTTTCAAATCTGAGTAAATATTGTCCCCATTTTACAGGGAACGAAGCCAAGTTATTGATTTGTCTGCCTATAGTTGTGTATGTGTATCATGGTACCGTAAGACTTGGGTTTATCATGGGATAACATCCATGAATACATCTGAAATAGATTTAGGAAGAAATAGTCTATAAAATACATTTGTTGAAGAGACACTAGAGTGTTAGAAGGTTAGGTGTGATTAGATGAAACAAAGAAGAAAGTAATTTGTTTTTCTTTTCAGTATGTGCGTATAGAGGTATCGGTTATCTGAGTCAAGAGCTAATTTGTCTCCTTGTGTAGGGTTTTGGCGATGTAATACCTGTCATGCTGCTCTTTGGTTCAGAAACACTGCAAAAAAGGTGGCAAAAGATCAGAGACAAGGAACAGAATTCACTGAAAGCCTGCATAGTCTGAATCGCTAGGAAAGAAGTTCATAAGAAGAGGCAGAAGTGAATACTTTGGTTAAATTGTGAATGTGAAGAGTGATTTGTGGATAATTTGCAAATGTGAACATAAGGCAGAAAAAAGAAATGTTGAGAGATTGTAGCAAGGCTGAATGAGAAGAAATTAAGTGAAGGGAATCTTAATCATAATATCAGAAAAGTCTTCCTAACATGGAATTCTGAAATAAGTCTCTCAAGGAGGCAAAGGGGAGCCATTGTGACCTGTTTTGGACATCTACAACTTGACAGGCCCGTGGAAATCATACAGCAGAAAGCTGTCTTGCACCATGCCCGTGGGAATGGGGAAGGGCCTGGTGTTCTGTTACTATTAGGACATAATATGTGATAATTGGGAAATGAAATAGCAACAGGATGTGATCAGAGGTTTGGGGTTTACTGGTAGGATGCTAATTTGACAGGGAGTCTCACTGCCTGGAGCCCTCAGCATCATTTCTTTTAGCTCTCCGTGGTTTTCAGTCTGCCGTCTTGAAATTGTGAGGTACCCTGAAGAGTCTGTTGATTTCAGGCTTCTGTTGGTGGTGCTGCTGTTGTCAACGCTTTGTGAATTCTGCATCAATGTATTTGGCAGGGCAGACAAAGGAGAGAGGCAGGTCAGAGCTGGGCAGTAAGTGGGGAAAGGCAGTAATTTATGCTTTCAGGGACTACTCTGAACTGAAAATTGCTTTCTTTTTCTTTTTTTTAATGTATTATTTATTTAAATATAATGCTGAGCAGGACAATCTCACATGATTTGGTGTGCAAGTTATAAATGTTTGCATAACCCAAGAAGCTCTTAAGCTAAAAAAGTAGAGACTACTAGTTTATCTTACTGAATCACTTTTCAGAGAGTATTAAATGGTGGTGTTAAAAAAGAGTCATCTCTGCTTAAACTTAGATATGCCAGTGAAGTTCTTAGATGGAAGAAGAACTAAATTTTTTGAGTGCCTGACCAATTTTAAGTGAGAAGTGCTGAGGGAGAGCTGTAGTGATTCACCAGATCTCTTAGGGGATTTGAATATTCCCAGCAGTACCCGAGCAGAGTAACTGGTGCCATTAACTAAGATGAACCTCTCTGACTTTCTCACTTACAATTACAGGAGGGAACCTCTACGATAAGATTCTGCGGCAGAAAGACAAGTTATTTGAAGAAGAGGTAATTTGGACTGCTTTGAGGGAGCAGTGGGGCTGGCCTAATGTTCTGGGGAGCTGTCTGGTCTGGTTATCTGAGTATTTACACAACATTTTTTCCATAGTGCTGGTGGGGAGTTTCTGTGTGTATCTGGGGACTGACATCCTTCCTCTCCTGTTGACTATTGCAAGCATTTATGGACTATCAGAAACTTTTTATTTACCTTTTTGGCTGTCTATAAGCAGTATAAACTTCCAAGGAAAGAATAATGAAAGAGAGCATTCAGCTGACTTTGGTCACCTTGTCATCTTGGCTAACGTTTAACTTTAAAACCTCTTTCTGCATTTCTTCCTGGTTGGTACTCAATTTCTCTCTCTTAATAATTTTGTAGGTTCTTTTCTCAGTAATTGCCTTGAGTCCATCTCACCATAGATTTTTTTCTTGTTCCTTTTATTTTTCTTTCTTCATTTTTAAAAAAAAACTTTTCTGCTGTCTGCTTCCACCTCATGCTGTGGTGGTTAATGATTACACTTATTTATCTTATGTAATGACTTTTAAGGCCTTCTGGCTTGTGGTGAATATTCATATTCCAGAGAGCCCAACTGTAGATCTTTCCCAGGTGGTCATTAGCTGTCATTTCTAAGTCTTTTCACTCACTGAATTCTGCTTGTCAGGGCAGACACTATGAACAGCACTAGAACAATCTACCTTTTGGGATGTCTTTTCAGAGAATTCCAAAAGAGGAAATTCTAAATTTTCATGCTCCCAAAAGAGCATCTAAAGGGTAATGTTAGGGCCTCTTGCTGTGCCTCTGTGTGACAGTGACATAGTGGGTTTTGGGAGGGGTTTTTTGAGCCTCACATAAGGCTTTTATTTCTACCTTTGCAGATGGTGGTTTGGTATCTCTTTCAAATTGCATCAGCTGTGAGCTGCATTCATCGAGCAGGAATTCTTCACAGGTAAGTGTGGCATGTGGTGAAGCTAAGGTAACCATTGCGGTTCATGGATGTGAGTGCAGAACTCCTTTGAGTAGCCTTTGCTTCTGTGTTTAAAGCAAGCACTGAGCTTCTCTCCAAAGCATAGCTGGACTGCCTAGATGTTAAGTATGACTTCTGTAAAGAATTTTTATAGGGCTAGAAACTGTCTTGTGATAAATGTGTAAGAAATTTTGTATATGAAAATGGAAATGCTGTCTTTGATGCTGCAGCTTTGTGAACAAAGAGTTAATCCATGTAGGAAGGAAGTAAATTGGCCCTTTATTGCCATAGCACATAAATGGTGTTTGCTAAAGTGGGTTGGAAGAGCAGTTACCACAGGCCAAACATACTTCCTACCCGCTCCACAATTAATAGCTTCAAACCAACATGTACATCCTTCTGTAATTCCTGGAAGCTAACAGTGATGAAGACTTTGTATTGGTGCATTGCTATAGTATAACCCATGGAAAGATTTGTCCTGTATTTGGCCCAATCTCATTTCTTCGGCCTGTTATTTAAGGAAGTAATATAGCTTGTTAGCTGATAGTGGTAATTTTGACATTGACACTAAGATTTTAATGAGTAGCTAATTACCTTCCTCTGTTGCTCTTTTCTGTCTGGGAGGGGTAAATTTCATGGCTTATGTGTGCTTCACGGAGGCTGTGATGTTCTGGGGAGTACTGCACATGCAGACAGCTGTTTCCAGCATGGTTGGATCATGTGCTGCACAACATCCTTCTCTAACTAATGAGCATAGCTGTGTGAGGATGTTTTCTGTGGGATAGCATCCTGGTTGCTGCCATTCTAAATCTTTGGTAATTGGAAAGCCTTGCTAATGAAGGGTTGGTATCCTACACTCAACAAAGTAGTGCCTAAGTTTTTGACCTAAAGTAGATGTCATGGCTGTCCTGCTTTGCAGTGATTTCCTCCTTACCACCTCTGTTGCCCATCGTCACAGCAGGGTTCACAGTCTAGGAACGTGTGGTCCCAAATCCTTCCGTAATAATGAATTGAACAGTTATTTAAATGTTTGCAGTGATTTCCTTCTGCTGCAGACATTGTCAGAGTGACCCAGGACTTTGCGATGCCCCAAGTGGATGAATGCAAAGTGCTGCTTTACTTGATGTTGTCCTGATCTACACTGGGAAGTTGTTGATGGTACGTTAGGAAAAGGGGGTGTTATGAAGTGTTGGCCATGGGAAGCATATCATACTGTGGCGGCTTCCTCTCTGTATTTACAGCCTCTTTTATTGATCTGTGAAACTACATACAAATTATTCTGTCTGGGAGAAAGTGTTTTCAATGAGTTTCGGAATTCAGCATTTTTGTGGTCATCAGCCTTTTGATCTTCTGGGCGTAGTACTTCATGTTATAAAGAGTTGTTCTTGAGGCATAAGGTAGAGGGATGTTATGCTTAAGTTCTAGAGTGGCATCTGTTTCACACCCTCTGTGTGCGTGTTTATATTTGCATACATACACATTCACGCATACATTCATGTTTTTAGTGAGCTCAGGGACTCCTGGCTTGGGTCTATTTATAAAACTAGGAAAAATAAGACCTGCTCAATGACCTTCACATGAGAAGAGAAGAGACTGAGAGGGGGAAAAAGAACTGTCTTTCATTCGTGGCCTTTTACATAGTTGTCTGGAGCCTGAGCTTTCTAGACTGTGCTGTGTTTGTGTGGGGATGTGATAAAACATGGATAACTGCAGTTACTGCCTCAGTACTTGGGGTCAAATTGCCTTTGGAGAGCTCTGTGTGTGTGAGAGAGAGTGCTGGCAGAGTAGCAAGTACCTCATTTTGGGAGGGGAGGTATAGTAGTGTGTGGAAAACTGTGAAATCCAGAAATATATTTGAGCATCTGCATTTCTTTTTCTCCTTTCAGAGATATAAAGACATTAAATATCTTTCTAACCAAGGCAAACCTGATCAAGTTGGGAGACTATGGGTTGGCAAAGAAGCTGAACTCTGAGTACTCTATGGCTGAGACTGTGAGTATCTCCCTTCTTTGTGTGCAAACCGAGGTGTGTTTTTTCTTTCGTCTCTGCATGCCTTGCAGAAGACCGGGGATGCTGTACATTCTTGCTGCTCGTTTTCTGTGGTTTTTCTTTCCCTCTCCCCTCGATTTCCCTCCGTGTTACCTCAGTAACATTGGCATATTTGCTGGTGTGTTGCAGCCTGCAGTTATCCTTGCTCTCAGGTTACCTTTTAGAGGTCTGTCTCTCTCCAAAGCAGCAGTAGTCTAAAGATAAGTGCCACTGTGGGTATGGAATTGTGCCAGAGCCAGTATAGCTGTGCTAGAGAGTGCTGCTCTTCTTTCCCTGGTACCTAGGCATGGTACTTCCAAAGGTGAACCTATGTAACACAAAGGCGGTGCTATCTGAAGGTACAGAGACAGCGATATAGCCACATCAGTACAGTGCTCTCCCTCTGGGCTAGTTAAGCCCAGGTTAGCAAGTTAATTTGGTCATGCTACGGTGCTGACAGGGGCATTTTGCCTCAGCTGGATCTGAGATAGCTTGGATGTACTTGCCTGACATTGCACTATGCCATAGATGCATTTCCTATCTCTTTAATACTCAGGCTCTGAACTGAATTACAAAGAAGCAAGAAAGGCACTTGTGCTTCTTATGGTAACCAGGTGTATGGTTTATTGGTAATGCTCTTGGAGGGGGGCAGAGCTTTGTAGGAGAGATTAATTTTACCAGAAGGCTGTCAAGCTTAGCTTTGTTCCAGACCCTTCCAGAAAGCGGTTTTGCAACTAGTGTTATGACACAGGGTAAGCTGTATTGCAGACACCTGAAAGGCTCAGCTTAGATTTCCCAGCTTCATTAATTTCTGTGGTGAGCACTAGGCTTGGAAGGGGACACAGTGTCTGGAGCTCCTATCTGCTAAGGGCCTTTATTATAGTTTGGGATGCAAGCCAGCTTGCACTTCCCCTTACCAGGCCGTATTATTAGATTTAATGCAAGCTACTGGTGTTCTGTTAGGATGTGTAGTTAAATACTTGCCAACCTCTTTCCAGAACATGAGCACTATTGGCGGTGGCACAGTAAGTGGGAACTGAAGGCTACTGCGTAAAGCCCTCGCTAAGCTGGGCTGCAGCAATACCACTTCTGTTTCATCACATTTTTCATGGTCTTCTGGCTTTCAGGGAAAGTGCAGTCTGTGCTATGAATTTCCAGGTTTGTTTTTTGCCTGTGTTGTGTGTGTTCATCTACACCTGCAAGCTTTTTTTTCTCCTTTTTCACTTCTGAAAAATATTGAGCTACATGCCTTCAATGATATTTCATTCTGTATATGCTGGCTGTGCTCTGGGTTAGTTGCTCAATTTGTGATTTAACGACTAGTGGTGGTCTGGAAGTAACTTTTTGTGAAATGAGTGCAAAACATGTTATTGTCAGTATTTGTAATTGTAACAGTCAAATTACAATTTTGTAAAATGTTTACGTCTTGCTTACTAAACACTGATTTCTTAATTTATCGTTCTTTCTCCAATTTACCAAGGAAGACATAGAAAACATGTCTGCATCTTACAGAAAGCTTACATTATCCTTTGCTTAAAAAAGGTTTAGATGCAGTGTCCTAGTTCTCCATATGATACTCCAACTAGGTGGGCTTCTAAACGTTCCCGTGGCTGGGACTCGCGTAGCTCTGTAACTGTCACACACTGTAACAGGAAATGGAAGGGAGATGGCAGATTCTGAATGTGCCCATTAGGTATCTAGCATACTAGTAGAGTCTAATGAAAGGCAAGCTTTGTAGTCCTTGGAGCTTTGCTGAGAGAGTTTAAAAGAGGCTAACTATAAATATTTCTCCTTCTTTTAAATTCTGTCTCATTTTATTTCCTGTCTAGTTCCTTGCCAGGGAATGAGCTCCATTCGTCTGGAAGCTTCATTCTTAGATCTTTTATCATGTTTGTTCTGTTTCTCCTTGTTGTGACTTTGAGCTATGCCACTATTTCTGTTGTACCTGGGAGGGCTTCTGTGTTTAAGGCCTGGGTTTGGGGATTTTGTGTGTGGTGGGGGGGTGTTTGTTTTAAACCAGTTGTTCAGGAAAGCCCACTTCTGAAGTGAAAGCCTTTCAGGTGGGACTCAAGCCAGCTTTCTACTTACTGACCCAAAAGTAACCCCTCTTTCAGTGGAGACAGAGTAGCCTTTGTCCTGGCAGTACCTTGTGATCAGAGTGGCTCCATAGCCATGGACAGGCATCTGTGTTTGGAAGCTTTGCTAGATCCTTTTTCCTTCAACCTCTTATGAGGGTTTCCATATGCCTTGTCAGTACGTAAGCTCCTGATTACCTCTAAATGTAGTATAATTATGAGAGGGGCAAGTCCTTGCTGTGTTCTCGTGACTACTACTCTATTGAGAAGTATGTACCACATCAGGATCTGAGCAGAGAGGTGTCTAGAATCTTCTAAGAAACTCGGGCACAGGCTTGTGGATGAGAAGGGAAGAAGCATCCTTGTTCTCATCCCTCCAGCACATTGGTGGGGTGTGTCATCTGTGTCACTTCAGTGCTGTGTCAGAGCTGTGTCTAGCTCTGATGCTCATGGGCCTGTGTAAACATGATGGATGCAGAGCTCCAGAATTCAAGGCTGCTGGATCATTTCTGATTTTTCAATGTTTTTTTTCCTAGCTGGTGGGAACTCCATATTACATGTCCCCAGAACTCTGCCAGGGTGTGAAATACAACTTCAAATCAGATATTTGGGCTGTGGGCTGTGTCATCTTTGAGCTGCTTACTCTGAAGAGGACCTTTGATGCTACTGTAAGGCTGCAAACCAGGATGGACTGAGTAACCTTATTTTTTATCACCCTGAGATTCACACTTGTCTCATATTAACTCATGGTTTTTCTTTCATTGTTGCTTAAATCTGCTGATTAAGAAGACAGTGGCCTGCGAGTGCCAACTGTAGCCAGAGAAAATATCAGCATGATTTTCCCTAGCCTGCACTGCAGGTGCCTCTCTGGCTTCTGCCAAACCCAGCCTTGTCTGCAGCCCTGGGTTTACCAGATGCAGAATATAAGCTGTGCTAATTTGTATCATGGTTGTGAATGAAACATCCTTTTCTCTAGAAGGAGGAAGTTTGTGATTGTGTAGTCGTCTTGTTTTTTTCAGCATTACTAGCTGTGAATTTTCTGTGCAGCATTCTGTGGCAAAAACTTCCAGCCTTTGGATTTTATAGGATTTAATCCTGTTACCCTTTCTCAAAGTTTGGGTGCAAGAGAAGTGTGGTCAAGCTGGCATGGGGAGGGTGAAAGGGAGCATTGCTGGCTGGCATATGCGATTTGCCAGCTTGTGCCATGATATGGGAAAAGCTGCTAGCTGCCATGATGCAAGATTTTGTAACCCTTAAAGAGACGTAGTGAAAATACCATCCTTTTCTGATTTCCTCTCATCATGGCTACCAAGTCCCCAGTAACTTTGCTTCTGTGTGGTGTTTCAATGGCAATATGCTGCATAGGAGATTCCATGCAGAGGGAAACCTATCCTCCTTCCACTGTTAGGGAATTTGGTGAAAAGCTGGATGTTGCCACCAACAGCTATCAGAGATACCTTTTCTACAGGAATTACTATTAGGTTTCTGGAGAACCTGGTAGGCAGGCAAGAAGGATGTGTCCTGATCAGAGAAGGAGGAAGGAAATAATGGTGGCCTGTAGCATCTCTCCCCATTGGACACATTGTCCAGTTCAGTTCCCTTACAGCTGTTTTCTGGTTTCTGCCTAGAATCCCCTGAACCTTTGCGTGAAGATTGTACAGGGAAATCGCGCCATGGAGGTTGATTCCACTGTCTACTCCCGGGAGCTGATCCAGATGGTGAATTCCTGCCTTGATCAGGTTGGCGAAATACTTTTTAATTTTCAGACACCCCTTCCCAGCTGCCTAAGCCATGGAATTCAGGGATGAAGGGGAATGACATGCTTGTTTCAGCATGAGGGCTGTTGATGCAGGGTAATTTCTGTGAGTCCTGAGGCATCCCTAAGGCTGGGCTACCTCCAGTCCTCTGAAAGCATTGTCTCAGGATGATACACCATTCAGTCCTGCAGGCTTGGAGGGGTGCTGGGTTTACTCTGACAACAATTGTTTAATGGGCTGGCAGGAGCAATTATTTTCTAATGCAGTGCTGCAAAGGTGGGAGCATCGTCTCAGTACAGTCTCTTAAGGTGTGAGACTGTGACTCTGGCTTTCTGACTGTGACTCTGGCTTTCTGTAGGGAATTAATTTCTTGAAAGCAAATATAGTATTGATACCTTCAGAGAATGGAAGCCACTCCTGCATGTCCCTGACATTTATCCCTATTCATTCCAAATATTTGAATTCATTCCTTTCCCTTCTGAAGGGAGTCAGGGAAGGAGGTCCATGCAGGCTTGAATGAGGTCTTCTGGCCCAAGATTTCATTGTAGATGATGAGCACTTCCTAGAGACTGACTTGTTGCTCACTTCCTTCAGGATCCAGAGAAGAGACCCACTGCAGATGAATTGCTTGAACATCCCCTTCTCAGCAAACGCCGGAGGTAATCAGATGGTCTTGCCTGAAACCTGGACAGGTGTCAGGGAGAACAGGAGGGTTTGTGCAGACTAGTGGGGTTTGTGCTTTTGTAGTGAAGTCCTTAAGGTAATTTGGCCTGATGTGAGGCGGTTGTTGAAGTACACTTCATCCTCTTTAGCAGAGAAGTGTGCATTCTTGCTGTCTTGACTTCTGCTCTGATGTTCTGTTGGTGCATGGATATGGTGAGAAAGGTCTCTGCATCCTTTGTCTTAGAAGCTGTTGTATTGAGAACCTTGAGGCATCCCTTTCTGAGGCTCCTTTGAGGAATGCTGGTTCCCGCTCTTCAAATCTCTGTGAACGAAGGGTCACAGACATCATTCTATGGTCATTGGGAAAAGCCTTTCAAAATATATGTATCATGCAGTATAGAGACCCTTGCTTTCTCCTTTGTTGCCTCCCTCTTCTGGAGAGAGTTGCATTGAAAGTGGCCCATTTTAGCTTAGTCTGACCATCAGTCTGCACATGCTGTCTTTCTATGAAAGGTGGACCATAATTCTGGACTGTTTGGATCCCACTTTGGTTGCGTTGGGAACAGCAGACTTAGTCCTTTGTAGCAAGATTCTTTTACTTGGTGGTCAGCAAAGTTTGAGTTTTGTCTTGCTGTATGCACTAGTAGAAGCCCAAATCCTGATAATATTTAGCCATTTAAAGTCATTCTTGTGCAGTATGGGTATTGGTTGGCCACATACTGGTATACATGTAGTTTGTTGTCCTCAGCTGTCCTGGAAGTTTGTTAGCTACATGGTACATTACTTCTGCCCTACTTACTGTGTATTGCTGTGAGCTGGTAAACAGCTGCCACATTTCCTCCAAGAGGGAGCAGCATTTTATTGGAAAGGAAAGCAGTCTCTGCGTGCTGCTTGTCAGTAGATTGCTTTTGGCGATGTCACTGTTTCCTAAAATGCTTTTTATCCTTTGGCAGGGAGATGGAAGAGAAAGTCACACTTCTTAATGGGCCAAATAAGCGACCAAGGTAATTATTTGGGCATGTGTTTGAAAGAAAGTCTGGAGAGAACAGCCCCCAGAGAGGAACTTTGCTGAGAGTGTTAGTCTGTGACAACCTTAACGGAATAGCATAGTTTAGAAGATCCCTAAATGCTGGGAATTTGACATAGTTGTTACATGATTATTGTCCCACGTTTTACTCTGCCTTTTATATCCTGCTTATATGTATGGCTGGAGCCTTACCTCAGCAGGTCCCATACAGCTCTAATCTGTCCTACTGAGGATGTAGTCTTTACAGCCTGCTTATCTGAGGATGTAATGTAGATCCCTCCTTTAATGCAGATTCCCTTGAGCAGGAGCAATGTGACTGTCTGAATGTTGAATATAAAGTGAATATAAGTATCTTTCATAAAACTGGATATATGCAGAGGTTCTCCACAGTCCCCAGCAAGCCTGTAAGCAGGGTTAATCCATGAAGCAGATAGCTTCCATGATGTGTATAGCTGGGTTTCTGTTGATTTGTCAGATAGAATTTGATCTTTTTTTCCTCGTAAACTTGGAATTACTGTATGAGCACATTATGTGGAGTTGTTCAGTTCATAGGTTGCTCGCAAACAGTTTGCTTTGATTACAACTTCCATTTTGCAATCTGCTTGTGAATTTATTCTTACCTGTATGGAAGAGTTATATTTTTGCCCTCAGATGGAAGCCTGTAATTTAAATAAAGAGGAGAGAGGGAAGTTAGAAGCTTTTGGATGCTTCTGTATTTTGAGCAAGATTTCATGACTGTTTTGTAAGGCTTTCATTTTTCACAAATGAGAACAGCTCCATGGCCATTCAGTGAAAGCCCGGTCTTTTTAAATTACAACATATTGAATTGTAGGCTTTTAAAAGTGCTTCCTGGAGGCTACTTTCTCTGCTGCTCTGAAACAGGTTTGATCCTGAGTCTCTCTATAGCAGTTGAGGCCTCACAATCACTCAACGAAAAGAACAGTTTGTGAAAATAAAAACCATGAATTGTTGTGAAGGGGAAACTGATAGACAACCATAGGAAAATGAGTGGTGACAGTGAATGCAAACTCATTATTAAAAGCATGTGTGTTTTGGGGGGGCGGGGTCTTGTGCAGGTCAAGTACCATGAATGAGGCTCCCATTGCAGTGGTGACTTCGCGCACTAGTGAGGTGTATGTTTGGGGGGGTGGGAAGTCCACCCCCCAGAAGCTGGATGCCATCAAAAGTGGCTGCAGTGCACGCCAGGTGTGTGCTGGTAACACTCACTTTGCTGTGGTGACAGTGGAGAAGGAGCTCTACACCTGGGTGGTAAGTGAGAGAAACTGCAGGAAGGGGGTAAGGGTGGGAAAGGACAGTCCAGATCCACTGCTTACTGTTCATGAGCCTGTTAGAATCAGATAGGCAAACAGCTTGGAAAAGGAGAAATCTGATTGCAGTGGACGCTGTGAGGCCATCTGCTTCAGGGCTGACCCAAGTCTCCCAAGGCAACTGTGTTTTGGGGAGAAGTTTTCTGTCATGACAGGAAGTGTATTGGAGACTTGCTGTGCACTTGAGAATTGTAGGTGGTGGACTTGTAGGCCCAGACATGGAGTCAAACATCTCTTCCTCCCCTTCCTGGCTACTGGAAATGCACTGGAGTCTTTGTCATGCTCTGTTGGCTTTGTGTATTTTTGAGGAAGGTTTTCTGAGATCAGAATGGGTGGGATGAGTGACCTTGTTGTAATACAGATGTCATCTGCAAGGCAACTTGTGGATGAAACCAGAGATGTTTTATACTAAACAACTCTGCTCTTTGTGATGAGTGGAAATTCTGTAAGAGTTGAAAGTGAGTAAAAAAATGTTGACATATAATGTGTTTAAAACAATTGAACCCAGTCTTCTTGGGCTTAGATGGTCAGTGACATGGAGGTATTTTGCATCTCCAGGCTTCCACAGGCTTTTATATTGATGATACAGAATCTGCTAAGACAGATTAGAAAATAATGGTAGGTAGGTGAGAAAAGAAAGATCCAAATGGGAGAGCAACTTGAAGTCATTTGCTGGATGTTTCTGCAAGAATGGCCACTGAAATCTTTCAGCTGGCTATTAATATTTTAGTTTTAGCTTCAACGCTACTCAGAGTCATTTTATTTTTCCTGTAGAATTGGTAGGTCTGGCCACTTTGGTGACATTCGTTTCATGTTATGGGTTTCTTTGCAGCCATTAGGATTTAGAAAAGTAGGTCAAAAAGCTGAAGGACAAATTTCAGTCCTGTAGTAGGGAGCAGGTTCTGTAGTGTGGCAGATGAGAAAGGAGGAGGAATTCCTCACCAGCTGGTGGCCTGAGACCAGATCACTTCTCGTTAGTGCATAACTGCCTGAAAGCCTGTGCTGCCATTTAGAATGTTGCCTGTTGTTATGCCACATAGCAGATATCAGTCTCTTCCCTAAGGTAGCTGACACACTTTCTCTTGCTCTTTGCTGTCTTCTGTTGTTTATTTGAGGTGCTGTAATTATTGGCACCATCTCTGGAGTTGTGGATACATAACCTTACCAGATGTTTCTGTCTTGCAGAACATGCAGGGGGGCACCAAGTTGCATGGGCAGCTGGGACATGGAGACAGAGCTTCCTACCGGCAGCCAAAGCATGTTGAGAAGCTTCAGGGAAAAGCTATTCGCCAGGTGTCCTGTGGAGATGATTTCACAGTGTGCATTACAGGTGAGAGCTGGAAGGGGATCCCTGTCTCCTCACTTTGCTGTGCTGTGGAAATGTTTGCCTTCACAATAAGATTAGCAGAGCAGCTTTGTGCAAAAAGGAGAAAGTCCCATATGTTACTCACCCCTCAGTTTTGAGGATCGTAGATGTGGCAGTGGAGATAGGTTAACATTATTATACAGAGGAAGATACTGACTCCCAAGAAAGTTGGGTGTTTTGCTAAGGATATGCTCCTTTTTGGTGATGAAGCTGGGTGTTGAGCACAGCTCCTTGTGGCTGTGCAGAGTCCTTGCTCTTACCAGTGCATGTGTTGCCTCCATGCATGCCTGTATTAAAGATAGAGGAGGCTGAAGTCAAGAATGTAAATGTGTTTGAAACTCTTTATGGACTCTGTGGGGAAAGAGTCACCCAATGATAAAAGAAGATATGTATCTGAGATTTGCTGTTTAATTCGGAAAGCTTGAGACCTGGTAGCTGTCTCTAGTTCTAACCCTGCTCATACTTTTAAAGATATGTTAACTGTGGCGTTGTCTGTTATGGAAGAATTTGAATCTCACTTTACCCATGGAAACATAATTCTCAACAAGGTAGTTTCCAGCTTATTTTGCCAGTGCTGGAAAAGCAGAGGTTTGACAGAGATAAGCTCAGACGCTCAGTGTGCTGGAGGAGTGACTTAGTGAGCCACAGGATCAATTTGTGAGTTTCTGTTAAACAAAGTGGCATGTTCAACCCAAGATTTTTTGACACTGGTGGCCTGAAATAGCTGCAGGTTGTGGTGTAAGGTCATCCATCTTAATGTGAACAAGAACGGACTCCATATTATCCTGATGACATTCAGCACTAAAGAGGAGGATGATTACAGAAAAGAGATTGCTCTGGCTGTGTCCTAAGAGGTTAATATGCAGCCTAATACAAGCTCTGTGTGCTGACCGAGCTTCCCTTCTGTCCTTCAGATGAGGGCCAGGTGTATGCCTTTGGCTCGGACTATTACGGATGCGTTGGTGTTGACAAGGCTCATGGCTCTGAAGTGCTTGAGCCCCTGCAGCTGGATTTCTTTCTTACCAACCCTGTGGAGCAGGTCTCGTGTGGAGATAACCATGTGGCAGTGCTGACCAGGAACAGAGAAGTCTACACATGGGGCTGTGGAGAGTACGGTAGGTAGTGTCTCTCTGGAACCTAAAGGCACTGGGGTATGTCTGCTCCAGAAAGCAGCTTGATGCAGGTGTGTAATGCAGGGCCTGGGTGAGGGCTGTCTGGTATGCCCTGGGGGTGAAAGAATGTTGTTTCTTTGGGCCTTTCTTTCCTTGTAAGAATGGGGAACTGGGGACTGAGCCCTTGGGACTTTACTCTGGGAAGCTCTAGGGTGCCACTTGGCTTCCTTGTGGGTAGGGCAGTTGTTCTGTGAGTGGGGTTGGGTTGCCTTGAGGATTGGCAGGCGGTGATGCATGTAGGGGAACAGGTTTGTAGTTCTGTAGGGAGATCCTTTGGGACTATGGAGAGACAATACCGTTTCTTAGGGACAGGCACCTTGTGAGGCTGTTTCTAACTGCACTGTTTTCACTGATGCAGGGCGCTTGGGCTTGGATTCAGAAGAAGACCACTACACCCCTCAGAAGGTAGGACTGTGACTACTTCTCACAATCTGCATGGGCATAAATCCAAATTAGTTGCTGTTTGGAAATATTAACTGTCTGAGGCTCAGGTGTTTTTTCTGAGGTATCACAGATTTTGCAAGGATTTTAACTTTGCTTCTTCACTTCGTTTTGCTTCATTTCTCCGTAGAGATCATGGCAGAGGGACATACCACTCCCAAACCAGCCAGCATCACAACTTAAAGCTTCATTGCTCTGATCTCCATGCTGGAACTGGAAATGCTAAACTTACTGTTGTAGAACTCATAGTAGAAAATACCAAATTGCATACCTCGGGTCTGTAGAGGAAACTCACAGCAGTGCACACAACGGGGAGTCTTTGAATTTGACATAAGGAGTTAAAGATGAGTTGAAAGTAAAACCCTCTTGAAATACAGTGCTGGGGGTAATTGAGGTAATCTAACCCATTGGGGGTTAGAAACCAAGGATGTGCCTGGAAGCCAAATATCTGTGATCACACAGTATCACAGCTACACAGCACAGACCCAGCCCTGCTCAGCTAACTGGGTCTGGTGCTTGTAGACCCCAGCTGGCCAGGATGCCTGTGCCCCACGTTTCTGGTTCCTGTGCTGGCTCACTGGTGTCTGTACACAAGGTCTAGAATGCCTTGAATTTCTGCATTGTGACCAGAGTTTCAGTATGCTATAGACTTTATGATATTTTTGCACCTTCATTTGAAATAACTGCATTGGGTATTGTCAGTGCCCAGACTAGTTGAACCACTGCTCTAACCCCATATGTTTTCCATGTGCCAGCTTCTGTGTAGTAGGTGTTGGGATTTTGATTTTCTTGGGATATATTTCTTCTACATAGGTGGATGTTCCGAAGACCTTAAACATTGTGTCCGTTCACTGTGGCTGTGATGGGACTTTCCTGCTCACCCAGACAGGCAAAGTGTTGGCATGTGGACTCAATGAGTTCAACAAGCTGGGCCTGAATCAGTGCACATCAGGGATAATCAACCATGACGTAAGTGCATTTGGGTCCCTGGCTCCAGCTCCCAGCAGTCAGTAGTATATGGGAAATGGAGGTCCTGTGACAGTGACAGAACGTTCATTAGCTTTGTGCCAATTTGTTAGTTCCGATCCAAGACAATGGATACTGGATTCCGGGAAGAGGCAGTTTGTTCCTCAGTTTCCTGTCTGCCCTATGGGCTTATGTCAGATCTGATGTAGTGAAACAGATAGCAATCTGCTCCAGGGTGACTTAGCCAGTGACATGGATTCTGGCAGTTCTTTACCATACCCATGTTGGGACTGTCTAGGTTAATGTTGTGGTCTGCCAGGACCTGCTTGAGTAGGTCTTAGCTGATGAGTGTGTGGTTTTTCACTCTGTGCTTACCCACATATCTTTTATCAGACATACTGTGAGGTGCCATATGCCACTTCCCTTACTTTGGCCAAGCAGCTGTCCTTCTACAAGATCCGTACCATTTCTCCAGGGAAGACACACACAGCTTCCATTGATGGTGAGCCCTATATATTAAGTGAATACTGGTTGCTGGATTACTTTACATCAGCTTTGCCCTTTCAGCCTGGCCCTTGACATTGAGGGTTGTGCTCTTGGTAGCAAGGCTCATGCCTACTCTAGGACCCAGGATTCTTGTTCCTCAGCAGTGTTGCCTCCTGGCCAGCTGAAGCAGCAACATCAGCTTCTGGGTCAGTCTTCCTTTTTTTAAAGGGAAAAAAAAAAGGGTTGGGAAAGAGTCATGCTCTGGGCTAGCAGAGGAATTATTTATGACCGAGTTAGGCTTTGCCCAAGTGACACCAGTCAGAGGTCTGTAAGAAGTCCCAGCCCCCGGCATCAGAAAAGGGAAGCAACAGGAGAAGGAATTGGAGAGGTGTTTCCAGGCTGAAGCCATTCCTCTTGGCTGGCACTGTCCCCTCCCAGCCTTGCTGGCTTCTCAGCAGAGTCTTTTCCGGTCATGGGCTGTTGCTGCTAGTTCTCTGCGTGCATGGCTGCTTCCAGAGTTGGGCCCTCGCTGTGACTGTCTCCTCGTTCCTCCTCTCAGAGCGAGGCCGCCTGCTGACCTTCGGCTCCAACAAGTGCGGACAGCTTGGTGTTGGGGACTATAAGAAGCACCTGGGAATTAACCTGCTGGGAGGCCCCTTGGGGGGTAAGCAGGTGATCAGGGTTTCATGTGGAGATGAATTCACCATAGCTGCTACTGACGGTGAGTGGGTCTTTGCGAAGTTGTGGTGGGTTCCTTTGAACTAGATCTGCAGGGTGGTTAACTGGCTCCCACTGAGCATTTCCTGACCACCCCCACAGCACTGCACTGAAGGAAATCCTCCTAGACTGGGGCTGTCTGGCCCTGTTAGTTGTCGAAGTGCAGCGCCAAGCATTTGCTGTCCCTGGGGCTGCAGAGCGCTGGCTTGGTGGCTGCCTGTTAGATTCATTATCAGTTTTTTCTGCCACTGGCAAAATGGACATGGTGGATAAGATACTTTGGGATAGCAGTTATAGCAGACAGGCTGTGATCCTTGAAGCAATTACAGGCCAAGAGGGAGAGAGCGAATTGAAGCTTCTGAATCTCTCTTTCCTCAGACAACCATATCTTTGCCTGGGGTAATGGTGGGAATGGGCGTCTGGCAATGACATCGACCGAGAGAGCTCACGGCTCAGATATTTGTACCTCGTGGCCTCGGCCAATATTTGGATCATTGCATCATGTTCCAGACCTGTCGTGCCGTGGCTGGCACACCATCATCATTGTTGGTAAGTGTCAGTTTAGGATGAAATTTTGGGATCTTGGTTATGATCATGTATTGCTTGCCAGGACCTAGACTATAAATCCTGCCTGGGAACAGGCCAGGTTGCTGGGGGGGAATGTGGCAAGCTGCTCTGGGCTCTAGGCATGCAACATTGGCTTTGTTGTGCACCGTTGTAGGAGTTGTCTTGCTGTCTATGTGGCACGCTAACTGAAAGCATGCTTCTCTCCTTGCAGAAAAGGTGTTGAACTCTAAAACAATCCGATCCAACAGCAGTGGCCTGTCCATTGGTACTGGTGAGTAACCTGCCCTGGGCAGCTGTTGTTTAAGTACATTCAGTGGTTAGTTTGAGTGGGTGCAGTTTGGTCCTGCAGCATGGTTTCTCTGTGTTTGAAAGGCCTCACAGAAGAGCTCAAAGGGAGGAAGTGTAGCTGCTGCCGTGCATGGGAAGGGATGTCCCAAAGCTGGGAAAGAGAGAACTGAAACAGAGGAGGAACAACATGGATGCAGTGTAGTTGAGGAACTTCAGTTTGACAAGGAAAAGCTGAGAGGAATTCACTGAAGGGAGCTGATAAGGGAAGGGAGTCTATGGGGCAGCTGCTGGAGAGATGGAGTCCAGTTTCTTGGACCTGTGGGATGGCTGGGGCCAAGAAGCTGCAAAAGCCTGCTGCACACAAGCCATTTTGGGGAGGCCTGCAGGGAGTGTTAGGAGATGAGCTGTTGAGGGAGATTCCACTAGCATGTGCTCTCACTGTGGCCATAAGCCCAAATTTCTGCATCTTCTCTGCTCCAACTGGGGTTTCTTGACAGGAATAGCGGAGGTGGGGAAAGTATAAAGTTTTCACTCTTGTTTGCTAGTGGCTCAGAGCTGCACAACTGGAGGAGGAGAGGAAGAGGATAATGAACAGGAAGCGGAGACCCCCAATCCCAGTGGAGGCTTTCGGGGAACCATGGAAGCAGATCGTGAGTTGGGGGGCTGGATCAGCACCACAGAAGCTAAGGGAGGCAACAGTGCTGACAGCAGCTCCTGCCCTGGCTGGCTCCGGAAGGTAATGTGGTGTCTCAGAAATGCCTTAAAATGGGGATGTAGGCTGGGGAAAAGCGAGTGGTCCCTTCCACTTTTAAGGGATGCTCTGAAAGGTTCTCAGAGCTGTGCTGCACGGGGAGCCCTTTAGGCCTCGCTGCCCTTTTTACCACAAGAGGGTGTTGGTGCATTGGTTGAGGAGATGAAGTCGGCTGCAGGAAGGCAGGCAGGCCTGACAGTGCTGCTTTTGTGGATCCAGGAGCTGGAGAATGCTGAATTCATTCCCATGCCTGACAGCCCCTTTCCTCTGAGCATGGCGTCTTCAGAGCCGGAGAAGGAGACTCTCCCTTACCAGAAACTTCAAGGACTCAAAGTGGCCTCTGAGGAACCTGTTGGATTAAATGAGCCCAAAACGGAGCCCTGGGTAATGTTATGCAAGTGAATGCTTGGCTGAAAGCTCTTGGGGACCATAAATGGCAATGTTGCAATTATGGGGAGAGCTGAGAAGAGGGTGTTGAATTGGCCTAATTCATCTGAATGAGGAAAAGAGGGCTATTGATAATCAGAGATGATGCTGCAAAGAGAACAATTCACAGGAACCTAGAACACAAAGATGGGGCTTGGTCAGATTGAAAATAGCAAGGTCAGTTCTGTGGAAAAATGCAGTCCACGCAATTGGAAAAAATAGAGAAACCTAGGGCCCAGCAGCATAGCAGAAGATAGAAATTTAGAAAGCAGAAATTGCTGTGAGATAGGAAGAAGAACTGATAAAGGAAATCACTGAGAAATTAGAACCTGTGAGATTACTGTATTCCAGGAGTTTTCTGCCCCAAGAAGAGGCATGGATCCCAGGCTTAGGGAAAGGGGGGTAAACCAGATGGATTTTGGTGATAGGAGGACAGGAGCAGCTTTCCCAGAAAAAGGAGGAAGTTAGTGGCTTTGTACTGAAGACATAATGACTAGTAGCTTGCTGACCTTGGCTGCTAGAACTTTGTGAAGTTGGGAAACGAGCTGGGGTGACACTTTCTATGCATGGTTTCTTATGGCATAGAAAACTCCTGGCCTTGCACTCAAACCTGGCCTGACTTCCCTCTGTGTCTCTGCAGCCTACTTGCCTGAGTCCAACCCTGCCATGCGGTGAAGAGAAGGCTGCGTCTCCTGTTGTGGGCTGCATGTGCAGTGCTCTGCAAGTGGAGGTGGCGCACCTCCGAAGCCTGGTTTTACAGTGTCTGGATGATCAGAAGAAGCTGCAGCAGGAAACTGTTCGTCTGAGTGCCCAACTCCAGCGGTTCTGTAGGGGGACGGAGGGAGTGCAGCAGGTGAGGACCCATCACCTGGGTGCACACGCATGCTCAGGGCTCACTACACTCCTGTGTAGATTGTGGAGGCTGTGCAGAAGGAAACAGCTCTTAACAGATGTTTCTCTTAGAGCCGAATGGGGGGACTGAGCCTGGTGCCTGTCTCTTGTTTGAGCTGCTGATGCAGGCTCTGGTAGTAGCAACAGGAGTGAAGCCAAGGGGACAGTTTCCTGTGAGGACAGCCCAGTCCTTGAGGGACCTGGGATTCCCTTTTATTTCTCCTGATGAGAAGGGATGGGCAGTCAGATGTCACGGAGAGTCCCAAATGGCTGTAAAGAATAGGAACTGTGCCTGGCGAGGCTCCTAGCTTCCTTGCAGCTAGTCCTAGAGCTGTTAGGGTAAGTGCTGTGTGTTTTGGCAGGTGGAGGTTCATTCCAAAGGAACACAGACAGCCAAAGAGGAGATGGAAGTGGATCCGAAACCTGACTTGGATTCAGATTCCTGGTGTCTTCTGGGAACGGACTCGTGCCGCTCCAGCCTCTAGTCTCCTGAGCCCACTGGGATCCATCTAACTTCACAGCACACTAACCGAATGCAGAGAGCGGCTTTCCTGGCTTCAGGTCACTCGCAGACAAGAAGCGAGGCCGGAGGCTCCAGAGCAGCACCCATGTACGTTTGATATGAACTAGGAGTGAGTTTGAGAGGGGAAGGGCCCCTGAGCTCTAGGCCAGCTCAGTGATTGAAGCAGCAGCAGCTCCTCTTTGTACCTTATCTGTCAATTCTGCACGTGAGGCAGAACGGCCCCATTACGGCGATGGCTCCAGTAGCAGCTTTTGGCCCTTTCATTGTTTCACTGCTTCTTGGGAGCTGCCTTTGGGACCCCAGTATTCATCACTGCATCTCTAGATGAGAGGAGGAGACGTGTTTTGTACTGAAGCTGGCTGAACCCTAAAACTCACCACCTTCACTTCAGAGGGGTGAAGGACTAGGATCCTCTCCCTACCACATGGCAAGGCCCAGGCAGTGAGGCTGCTCCCCTCTGCTCAGGGGCAGAGGGAGCAGAGACTGTCTCATTCTGGAGGCAGTGGAGATCTTCCTGTAAGGAAGATAATGGTAGACAGCATGTCCCTGGTCTTGAGGTACAGCTTCTGGCCATATGGCTGTGTCCAGTGGCCTGTATAGACAGAGTTTAAAGGCTTTATTCTGGGTGCCTAGAGCTTTCCAACTTCCAGGCAATGCACTGAGATGAGTGAATCAGGTGTTGTTTCAAATAGCAGTAGTGGGCACTGTCTGAGATGGGATCTCTGGTTCTCAGTTTCAGACCACCTGCTTACCAACCAGATGACAAGCATCTGGGCCTGAGACTAAGTCACCCATTTCTTGCTCCAGCTGTTCAACTTGGTTTGGGTGCCAGAGCTTCTTGTTTCTTGGCATAAGCCCGTAGCTGCTCCTTGCTTGGCTTCTGTTCTGCTTAGCCCCTGGTGCCCACACTCTGTGTGGGTGTGGGAAGAATCAGTGTTTTTCCACTCAATGTTTTAACGAAGCTGGAATGCAGTTTCCTACCCAGAATAGGTCATTAATGCCGTGGTCACAGGATGCAGCCTTCCCCAATGACCATGAATGATCAGGTCTCTGGAATTCACCTTCTTTCTAGAAGTGAGAGGCTCTCGCAAGAAAATTGGAGATGGGAAGAGGCATGGTCTGATGCTCAAGATTTCCTCATTTCCTGTTAGAGAATGAGGTTAATTTTATTGCCCTTAAATTTATTACCAAATTGACTTTGAACTAAGCTTTTGGGATTGGTAGGATCCCTGGGAGCAGCTAGCCTTCCCTGCCTTACGTGAAGCCTCTAAGGAGTCCCAAATCCCTCTCACCTTTGCTGTGAGAGCGGGGTTGTGATTTCATTAGGCTTAAACCATCCCCATCAATGGCATGTCACTAGAATTGACTGTTCCAGGGGAGCCAGCGTTCCCCATTTGTCTCTAGAGGTGGATGCCAAACCATTCTGCTTGTAACTTAACGCTCCTTAAATACTTCGTTGGTGCCTATTGCTAGTGTCTTGGAGCTCAATCAAGTGCAGTCTCTCCAGTGCAGTGTCCAGGGCAAGGATCGTACTAGCGTGCCCGTCCATCGTTACCGAAGGAAGGGCAGGAGGACAGCCCTCCTGTGAGGTGGTGAGCGTCGGGCACCCTGGTGTGGCCACGTCGCTTAGTTGCCCTTGTGACTCTGCTCTCCTTTCCCCCATGTGTCTTGGAGCCAGTTCTCAGGTTAGGGTCCCGGCTTGAGGGTTGTTGTTGCGGTTAGAAATGATTGAGTTGGTGACATTGCGGCAGTGCCTTTGAGGAGTGAAGAGTTGAGGCTGAGCCATGTCCAATAAGCAAGCACCAAGCTGATGGGAGTCGCTCTCCTGCAGTGCACTGCTATCCTCATTTCTCAATGCTCTGCAGTTGGGAAGCTAGGTGCACAGACTGGATTCCCCTTGGATCTAGTGGAGGATTAGGGTCCCTGACAGAGGATGCCCTGTGCTCCGCAATCTCATATGTGCCTTAGAGGATTCACGCTATCCAGGTTGTGCCTGTTACAGACCACAGATTTCACACCAGCCAGCTATGCAACCAAAAAAGCAGTTTAAAGCCAGCACTTTTGTCTTGGGCTGAAAATGGAGGGGCAAGTGGGCAGAAGTGCCTTTGAGCAGTTTCAAACCCTTTTTACTTCTCCCCTTCTTGCAGTGCTAGCTCCGTATGTGTTGGTCTCCTGCTAGTATTGCTACTGAGTTGTTATAGGGGAACACAACTTACGCCTGCTCTGACACTCTGGCTGAAAACTAGTTTGTCGTCTTTTTTTGAAAGGTTAAAGGGTGTAGTGGTTTGGAGTTTCTGTTTAAATAAATGTTTAAACTCGTTCTCCTGTGTTGAGTTGTTGGGGTTTTTTTTCCAAGAGAAGATGGGGAAATATGCATATAGTCAGCTGGCTTCGTGGCATCCTGTTGTTTGATTATATTTTTTGCTTATAGAAAGAGGGCCAAGGGGCTTGCACGTTCTTTGCTATGGGGAAAAAAAATCAGGTTCTGTGTCCCTTCATTAAAAGAACCAACCAAACAAACAACAAAACAACTCTTTTCTCTTGCTGCTGCATCTGCTCCTAGTGACGTCAGGGGGCTTTTGTGCATGTGTTTATTTCAACAGTTTGAGTGCCAAATGGGAAATGAGTAATGGGAAGAGAGAGGCTCAAAGGGAAGAACTACCTGTTTCTCTCGGAACAGCTTCTACTGAGCATTAAGGCCTACAGAAGGAAGAACCTGCCTGACACCTGCTCTGCCAACTGTTCCTGCACACTGTACTTAATGCCTGTCACTTCTAACTTCCTATCAGGGTCCTTAGTAAATTGAGAAATGTCTTGAGAGGCAGAGCTGGGTTAAAGACTTAAAATCACCAGAGATCTGGATACTGAAAATGCAGCATGTCTCCGAGAGGGGGATTGTACTGCAGTAGCTGAGCCTGATGCTTTGGCTAAACTGTTACTAACTTTTAAACCAGTTATCAGAGACTTTCTGGATACTGCTGTCTGTCCTGATCTGAAACAATAGCTCAGCAAAGAGGAGTGAACTGCCCATGGTTGGATCCGAAACAAAGATAACAAATGAAGCCTGGTGATTTAATTTCAGTAACTTTTGTTTAATCTACAGTTTTGATCGTGTGTTAGCCATTTGCCTGTCACTTAAGAGAAGTCCCCAACAGATGGATTTATTTTACAGTATCAAAAGGTTTTCTGTGTGTGTCTACCCCCGTCACCATTTGCACTCTGCTGACTTTTAGGGTCCACTAAACAGCCAACGGAACATGGTGCAAGGGAAACAGAGTTAGTATTACAGGACAGGCAGTGGTACTTAATTTCTTAACTACTCTTTGTTTAATTCAGTTACACCCTTCTATTACTTCAAGGAGGCTGGCATAAAGCTTCCAGTTTACCCTTTTCCTACCTCTTGTCACCTCTTGCTGTCCTGTAGTTCGAAGCTCTGAAGTTAGGGCATTGCTCTTGCTTCTCCGATCAATTTGGATATAGCAGATTATTTTCCCTTGTTTCAAGTCTGTGTTTTCTCTCCTCTCTAGGTTTGTACACTCATACCTGGCTGGCACAGTACAGTACTGACCCTTCCTGGGACTTCTATGCTTTTCTAGGGTGTGCCAAGGGATTCGGATTTCTGTCCACACCTATAGGGCAGAAGCTTTCCAACTTCTTTCAGGAGTCTGGTCCGCCCATTGCAGGCTGGAGTGTTTCTTCATGTTTGGCTTCTGACCCGTTTAATCTAGTTGCTTTTTATCTTTTTCTAGGTTCCCTTGAGCTGCTGCTATATTACTGAAGGACTTGCAAAAGGAGCTGCTGGAATTTTTTTGTTCCTTGTTTGCTTCCTGTTGCAACGTTCTCACATGAAGTAGTCATTCTTACTTTGAGAACACAAGCCACTCTGTGACCATTTAAAACAACTTTTACACCACAGAACTACTCTAATATATTAAAAATCAGAACCTGGAAAAATAACTGACTTAAAAATGTGCAGGAACTGCTACCAATTACAAGCAGATGATTCTCTAAAAGGGTCTGTACGACACCTATTTCCCCCAAAAGGCCCTTTAACAGTGTGACAAACAAAGATCTTTAGTATGAGGCCAAAATCACCAAGAACTACCTTACATCTCGAGAAGAAAGCAGAAGAAGGGGTATATTTTTGTCATAATTCCCTACCATCGCAGTAACTAAGATGAAAATAAGATGACTCAAGGAAGGGTGCAAGCCTTGGTTTTTAGAGGTCCCTAGCAACTTGGGCTGAAGGAAAACTCCAGGTTTTTATATTGAATCTAATTGCTGATTTAATCCTGAACACAGGAGTGAAGCAGCTAACAGGGTTTTTAATGTGAAGTTCCCTAGTGTACTGTCTGGGGGCAGGGTGTGTTTGGGTTTTTTTAACTGTAGCAGTTCTTAAACATTTTGGATGGAAATTAAAAAATAAATTAGATGCCAAGTTAAGAATTGAGGGAAGGTTGCCGTGGGAAGGAAATTCCTTCTCAGCTCCCGAAAGGGATACACTGAGGCACAGATCTGTTGATCTGTTCTTCACACTTCATACAAGCAGCCTGGAGATAGGAACAAATGTTCTGTATCACGACTCCTAATTTCTAAGTCATGCCATATGCTCCCTTCCATGATCTTCTCTAAGTCCATCTTGAAAGAATGCAAGTTTGTTGCCTGATCTATTTGGAAGGTTTTTCCATGACCTTGCTCCTGTCCTGGTTAGAAACCTAATTTCCAGTCTGAGCTTATTCATGACCTATTTTTGATCTTGTGGGGCATTATTCTTTAATTAAATATTTCTTCTTCCACCCTTTCCTGACTCTGAGTCCCAGCTATTTTACATGGTAACACATTAGGATGGTTGTTCTGTTGCCTCGAGGGCCTGGCCAGTTCGGAGTATCTCTGCTATTCTATGCACATGAACTTAAACATTAAGTGCCTGCTACTACTGCTAGCTTTCCTAAGCCCCTGAATTTCCGATCCTGAGTTTCTTGTGTTGAGGAATTTTTTAATAATACTCCTCCCGGTTCTCCTTTTCTGGATTTCTAAATGGCAATGTTACAGATCTTCAGCTGGTAAAATTTAGCCCCAGGATCGTCACCAGCATTCTAGAAAAGTATCTAAATAAACTCTTGGGTTGTTGCAGAGCAAGTGTGGAATAAACCTACCTACATAGCTGCTTTCATTATTCAACTGAACAGTGCTACAACAACTAGGACAGAGCAAGAGCAACGACCAAGCAGCAGCTCTGGATCCTGTTGTCTAGTACAGATACCAAGGACAGAAGAACACAGCAGTCTCTTCGCTGCAAAAAAGTTAACTGCTTACATAGCTTCCTCCCTTCCCTCTGACTTCTCTAAATGCCTTGTCTAAATGCTAAATAGTTTTGAAGGATGGAGAGTCCTTTCTGTGGCAAAAAAAAAGAGGCACCCCTCACATCCCCCATCTCTTGTAGGTAGCTACAATAAAAATGCTACACCAGCCAGAACCACTGTCACTGTTAGCACATTCAGGGGTGAACATCTGCACCTACAGAGCAGTAGAGCAAACGAGGCAGATGCTGCTGTGTTTGGCCCAGCTCTTCTTCTCATGAACAGCACTACTTTATGTTTTTGGAGAAGGAAAAAAAATGAGCCTGCAGCCACTGGTGAGCTATAGGAGAGCAGCTCTTTTTACATCAGACACCTCTAGTTGTTAAAAAAAAAAAAAAAAGCCCGAGCCTCCCTAACCTACAGGCAAAATACGATTCTGAAGAACAGCCCCTTTCTGATGGCTGGTTTGCTCCTTGCTGCTGTCCTGCTGACAACCTGTAGCAACAGCCTTTCTTTCCCGCTCAGCTGACTGAACAGTGACAGCCTTACACCCACACTGAGACTCCATGTTGAGCTCACTGGATGGGAGAAGCAGCCCCCAGAGGGGCATCCCGGGGCACAGGTCGAAGTACACAAGTTCTAGTATTCTGCTTATACATCCTGAGCTGTTCACTTCTGGTACATACAAGCTCAACACTCGCAGCCAGTGTTGAGACTAGGGAAAGTGCAAGTGTCTGTGGCTGGAAACCTGGCAGAAAATGGGCAGGGAATCGCAGAAGCAGGTACAGGTGGACACCTCAGCAGCGCCTCCTCTGCGGTGGGGGTGGGGGTCTATTCTTGATAGTTTTGCATTTGGGAATATGTCTCTCAGCTGCTTGGGGAGCAAATCGGCGCCTGCAGTAGGGACAGGCAACGTACTCTGGGTTTTCAATGGGAGGCAATGGGGGCAGGTCTGACACCTTTCCTCCTTTGGAGAGGACTTGCTGCACCTGGCGGGCCTGGCGCAGGGTCTGGATGAAAACCTCATGCTTCTGTCTCCAGTTGTTCCTTCTGGGTGGTGTATTCTGCAGAAGAGAAAGGCACTCAGAGCAACTGGCACCACCGTCAGCCTCCGTTCTCAATATTACACTCAGGGTCCAACTCAGGTCACCCATCCCTGGATATTCCCTGTTGATGTAAAACCGTCCCTGAGAAGCTGAGTCCCATGAAGGGGATCAAAAAGACCAGCACCAAGGGGGATTTGAAGGAAATACTGATGGATACATCAACACTTAGAAAGAGGTTGAGAACAATCAGAAAAGCAAGCAGTAGGGCCAAGGAACTGCAGAGGGTTGCTATAGCTGCTTTGCAGGAACAGAGCTGCATGTTTCCACTGCCTTAGTTTTAACAGCCTGTGTCACTACCTGGATTTTCAGTCAGTTCCCTGCAGCCTCTGATGTTGCAGAGCTTTACTGCAGCAGACCCAGTCTGAACCCTGAGCATCCTGACTATGCAAGGAGTGAGTTTCTCCAGGAGTACACCCTTGACACATTACAAAGACAAGTCAGTTAGGACCCCTGCCACCCACTTATTAGATTTTAAATGGATCTATTTATCCATGGCAAGAACCTTTCAAGACAATAGCTGGATTGTATCCCTTAGCCCCATGTACGCGTGAAGGTGCTCACATCTCACTTGGAATTAGATGTTGGGGTGGAAGGAACATAAGTAGTAGATGTGGATTGAGGGAGGCAAAGGGACTGCATGTTACCTGAGGCCTCTCTGAGCTCTTCCACTGCTGATACTCTTCCAGTTCTGTGCCCCTAGCTCTGGCCTTGCTGGAGTCAAATGCTTTCCTCTTGGAGCCTTGGCTCTTGCTGCAGATACCTGTGTGCTTCTCAAGCCTGGTGCTGAGAAACTTACGTCCGCAGAAGCTGCACTGTCTGAGCCCCCCCTGCTCCACAGCGCTGGCAGCCTGCATGTACAGCACCTCTGCAGACGGGTGGTCACCATACTCTCGGTCTGAGACGGCAGAGGGAGAAGGGCTGCATTTTGGGCCCAGCTTTGAACAAGATGCTAAATGCTCCATGGGCTTGTGGTCTCGAATTTTGCTGTTGCTGGCCACCAACCGCTCCTTCTTGAGTTTCCCCATAGCCAGCTCTTGGGGGTAGAGAGTGGTGCCAGGCTTGGGAACAGTGGCCTCTGCAGACTGCACCCTGCCAAAGACCCCATCACCTGGCCTGACTGCAACTCTGAATGTTTTCTCTTCAGGGTGCCTTGCAGCTTTTCCCTCATGGGTCTTCTCCACTTTGTCTCTTCTTTCCTCTGCCTCAACAAGCTCCTTCTCTCTTTGAATCCTGCGAAGCTCCTCCTTTGTTCTCCTCAGCTTCTCTCTGAGGAGGGCCTCTTTCTTCTGAATTTCCTCTTCCAGGTTCCGTCCATCTGCCTCCAACTTGAGGATGTAGGCCAGCTCTCTCCTGTATAGATGGGAGGCTGACTGTTTAGGCTCTGCTGTCCAAGGAGAGAGCACTGCAACCAGCTGAGACCTCCCTGCTGGAGGCTTCCCTTTGCTCATTGAGCTAGGCCTACTATTTGGACCTTCCTCCATGTATGGGGAACTTCTCGGCTGTGCTGTGTTGACCACTGGAACACTCACACCCTTGTGGTGAAGGATTGGTTTCAGGGGATGGGCACGATCCACTCCTTCTTTCTGTACAGCTACTGATTTAGCTGGCAGAGTCTTGGTCTGGCTGGTGAGATACTTGCTCTGCAGTCCAGCTGAACAGAAGTCTCTGTGCCTGGAGCCGTGTTGACTGCTTTCTGCAGAAAGAGAATATGAATAGCTTCGGCTCTTTTGGGCATAGAGATCCTTTAAACCTTCCTCTTTGTCAGGTATGAGTTCATGCTGATAGTTGTTCTTCTGGTGTTCCAGCTGGGAACTGGGAACAAGCTTAGTAGCTGCCACCACTGAATCCACTGGTGGAAACAAAGCCATTCAGTGCCTGAGAAAGAGCCTGAGGTTAGAAGCAAAGTCATTACAGACTATCTTATCCAAAACTGGACAACTTTTCTCCTAACAGTCTACACCTGGAGGCTACAATGAGAGACTATAATAAATATTAGCAACGGTTTTATAACTTTTCTGGGATCTGTAAATCTTTACATTCCTTCCACCTAGGGAGCTCCCATGCTGCCTCTTCCAGTCCCAATCATTTATGCAGCCAGAAATAAAATATGCTTTTATTTTGCTTTCTGTCTGAGCCCGGTGTTATCATGGTGGCAGCAGAAGTATGCTGTACTGCCAGAGAAATTGTTATACTCCCCCAGGGTGTTTCCCATAGCGTGTCCCTTCAGTTTTGACAGTGTAGCACACAGGTCTGACAGGCAGGCGTCCGGTAAAGCTCCGTACAATCTTCCCGTGGCTCGTTCTACCACATCCCCTGGAGCGTGCCAGGTACCCACGCCGCAGGCCGGCCCCGCGGGGCGAGCAGGGTTACCTGCGGGGCTGCGGCCGGCGCTCTGCCCGGCCTCCTCGGCAAGCTGCGTCGCCACCCGTTTCGCTTATCGGTCTCCCATCGCCCGAGAGACCCGGCATCTCCTGCTGCTGCTGCTGCTGCTGCTGCTGCTGCTCTCCCCCCCCGCCCCGGGGCAGCCCGGAGCTCTGCGCGGAGCTCTGCCCGCCGCCGCCCCGGCCGCCGTGTTGACGGCTGTTGCCTGGAGACAGGCACGCGAAGGCCAGTTCCTGCGCCGCTCTCGCCGGTGAGCGGCCTCTCGATGGTTGCTCCGCCACGCTCCCCTTCCACTCCGCTCTCTGGAGGACCCCACCTCTATGGCCGGGTAGGGGCGATTGGCCGGAGGGCGAGTCTATATTCATTATTCATGAGGCGGTTAACGAGGGACCGGCCGCTCGCGGGTCCTGGCTCTTCATTGGCCCCAGGCGCGGGCACGGCCACGCCCCCAGCGCGAACCGAGCCGAGCCGCGCCGCGCAGGCGCAGCGGGGTGTGCGGCGGCGGCGGCAGCCCGGGGAGGAGGAGGAGGGGGCGGCGGCGCCATGGCGGAGGGCGAGGGCCTGGTCTCGGTGGACTACGAGGTGTCCGGCAGGGTGCAGGGCGTTTTCTTCCGCAAGTACACCCAGGTGCGGGGCGCGGTCCCGCGGCGTGCCCCTTCCTGAGGGGCGGCCTGCCTGCTGCAGTGCGTGGCGCTTTCCGTTAGCGCCGCCGGGGCTGCGGCGGTTCCTGTGGGCGCCTCGGTGGGGCTGAGCCACGGGCGGGCTGGATGGCGGCCACGGCTCCTGCCGCGTCTGAATGGGGGCTGTCGTCTCTCAGGGCTGCTGGCGGCCTGTGCCGCGTTATGTAAGCACGGCTGAAAACCGCGTTTCAGCCCCGGTTTTTCGCGTGAAAGAATGTTTATGAATAGTCGGGTGAATCCTCTGCTGCTCTCCTGCTGCCTGAGCCGTAGGAACTTCCTTGGAGGTCTGTGTCTTACCTATAAAGTGGACTCCTGTATGCGAATGTCATTCTGTAGCTCTCTTACTGTTTGGATTAATCTCATTTTGCTCTGCATTGTCTCCTCAGGGGGAGGCTAAGAGGCTAGGACTCGTTGGCTGGGTCCAAAATACTAGCCACGGCACCGTGCAAGGACAAATTCAGGGTCCACCGGCCAGGGTACGGGAGCTGCAGGAATGGCTCAGGAAGGTAGGAAGCCCCCAGTCCCGCATCAGCCAGGCAGAGTTCAGCAATGAGAAGAAGATCACGGCGCTGGAGCACAAGGACTTCCAGATTTTGAAATAACCTTGTCCAGGAAGAAGCCAAAGCTGAAGCATGAGCTGCCCTCACACAACATTGCCCCTCTTCCCCATTTGTTCAGTCAGCCAATATGCAGCTCTAGAGAACTTTATTTCATTACATTTTTAATTTATTGGTTCGTTGTACTGTTAGTCTAACTCTTGGCCTTTCACAAAATTTTGGCAGGCAGAGGAAGAGCTGTGCTACCTTTATTAAATAAAGGGGTTGTTCAGGGACACAGTGTCTATTTCTGAATGTCTGTGCAGAGTGGCGTTTGAGTAGTCGTACGTGAGTAAAATTCCTGATTTGTATAGCGTTGTGCTCACTTGAAGGAAATCAGAGAATCGATGCTGATAAGAAAAATTGCTGAAAACGTTATTTCTGGCTCTGAATGCCTCAGAAACAACTTGCTTTGTTCCAGAACTTTATTTTTAATTTAGAATAAAACCGCTTGGAGCTTGCTGCCTGTGTGGAATGGATGCGTCGTACAGGGGTTGAGCAGATCGCGGCCCTTCGAGGGTGATCCTCTTGCCGGTACCTGTCCCTGCGGGACCGTGTGGTGTTACGAGCAGCCCCTGCTGCCGCTCCGAGGGTAAAGGCCCGGGGGAAGGGGTCCTTCCCGCGGCCGTTCCTCGCTCTCGTCCGCCTCTGCCCGCTGGCGGCCAGGCCGGGGGCGGGAACTACAGCTCCCAGCATGCACTGCTGGGAGGGACACACCCCACCCGGCCCTGCCGCCAGCAACCGCGCAGGCGCCGTGTGTTCCCTGCCCGGGCCGTCGCGCGCCCTTTCCCTCCAGCAGGAGCCGCCTTGGAGACGGTTGGTCTCGCGCCGCGGCCGTTGAGGGGCCGCCCCGTCCCCAGGCCAGCGGGTACCGAAGGGCTGAGAGCGGGAGGGGGAGGGGTGGACACGCCGCCCCGCGCTGCCGGTGGAGCGGGGCCGCCTCTCCTGTCAGCGCCCCGTCGCGGCGGGCGCCTGCCTCCCG